TGTGCCCGAGGACCTCGGCCACCTGTGTCCACACTGCGCAGGAGGGCAGGACGAGGTGGGAAGAATGGGGCTGGTTCCCATGGGAAGAGCAGAGGGTGCCGGGCCACGGAGCTGAGCCCACACGTAGCGCACTCCTGCTCTGGGCAGGCTTGGATATAAACACAAATAAACCGCCAAGCTCTTAGGCACAGGCACAGGCCCCATCGATGGCACGCTGCAGATACAGCAACAGCAGCAGTGGTCAGAAAGGGCAGCAAATCTGGCCATCGGCAGGTTTCTGTGCTAGCTCTCCTTTCCATTTCCCGTTCAAGGCTCTCTACAGCCCACTTTGACCCACTTCTCTGCATAAAAGTAGCCCTAAGGGCCTGTGGGCCTTTGCCTCAACAAGGTGCGGTGCGGTGCAAGAACAAAGCGTCGGCATCAGTTCAACGGCTTTACGGTAAACGGTTCCCGTAAGCGACCGTCAGCCAGCAGGCATCCTGCACATCAATAAATACGGCTGGCCCAAAGCAGTTGCTAAAGCAGATCCCGGAGAGACGGTCTAACTTTGTACAGCCTTAATAAAAACTTGTCCAAAGAAATGGTCCCTTTCGAGGCATTGCGACATTGGTGGGCTGTTTGTGGCATCCCACGCAGGTTGTTCTCAGGGCCTTCTGAAGGCCTCTGATGCGTCCATCATCACTTCTAAACGGCAACCAGCGTAAACCCCAAAGGTACGGACCTAGGGGAAAACAAAGGCGCTCACTGCTCTTCTTACCAGGAACAGGTACAGAAGCATGTTGCAGCTCACGGATCCGTGCAACAGTCCCGGACAGCGAAAGCAGAGGTCTCTGAAACGTGAGCTCCTTGCCATTTTCAAAAGAGAGCCATTTTTGAATATGAAATGTCCCCAGTCCTGCTATGCTGACAGCCTGAGGCTGGAAAAAGAAGAGAAGGGCAGGCATTTGTAGGGTGAAAAAAAACGTGAGGACTTGTGAGAGCTTGCAAGGGGGGTGCCTCGTGCCCTGCCGTCTCCTGGCACGGAACGCTTCTGCACACCTCAACCAGATTTTTATTTCTGTATTTATATGTTGCATATATAGGAAATATATATTTTAGGTTCCTTTTTTTTAAATTTTATTTATTTATTTTTTGTCTCTCAATTTACAGAGGAGCTGGTCTTTGGCACATTTGTGGCAAATCTGTAAATCGCAATGCAGTTCTGGGAAGAACAACGGCACTTGTGGGCACAGGGCTGCCGGGAGCCCTGAAACCACCTGGGCGAGGGGCGGTCGGGGTAGGATCCCACCTTTGTCTGCAGGAGCTGTTCCCGAACATGCTTAGACACGCTGCTCCAAATAGTAACGACATCTGGAAAGCAAGGGAAAGACACGTCAAGCTCTAAGTCAGCCAGCTCACGGCCCATCGGCACACCCGTAGACAAGGAGACGGCAGATGCAAGTGTGCTCCACCACGCCTCACATCTATCGGTGACGCGGGCCGAATCTTTGACTGGCCTCAGCCGCCTCCCAACAGGACATCTTTCCCTTCGGAGCCAGATCCCTGAGTGCGACCCCCTGCTGAGGGAAACCCGTCCGTGGGACTTCCACCACGGCAAGGGCAGGGTGCTGTGTGCACCGGACTCTGCGGGGCTCAAGGTGTCCTTAGGGGCCTCCCCCGCAGGGACGAACCCCACCTCCCACAGCAATTCGCGCTGTTCATCTTGCCTGCAGCGCTGCTCATCAGAGAGCTCCCAAAGGCCTTACCGTTGACAGAAAGCTTCTTGAGGGTGGGAAACGTGACCGTGCTGCAGCTGTCAGCCTTGCTGCAGAGCTCGATCTTGGTGATCAGCGCTTCCAGGTTTCTCATGTTCTTGCTTTGGGTCAGCGCGTGAGGCTGATTCAGGGAAGGATCTGGATGTCTCCTACTGGAAACACCCCCTCTCCGATGTCCTCGCCTGGGACTCGATGATCTTGGGACTTTTCCAACCTTAGCGATGATTCTATGATTCTCTCGATGATTCTAGGATTCTATGGAACAGCTGTCCCACCGCCTCCCTGTGTCCTCTGCGTCTCCGAGGTACAGGAGAGACTTCTCCCGTCCCCTGGACATGAGAGCTCGCCGAGGCCTCGCAGGGGAGTGAAGGCAGGGTCTGGTGTGCGGGGTTATGATGAGGAGGGGCTCTGTGACACGGGCTGGCGTCACAGAGGGACGCCCCCACATCACCCCCACGCCCGCTGACCCGGCCAGGTGTGGTCCTGCAGCGAGAAGGGGGCTGCTCCCTAAAACACACCCCCAATCCTCACTCCCCGAGGGGGGCCTGGGGCAGGGAGAGCCTCCAAGATGCCACCAAATGACAGAAACGGGGCACAGAATCACACGATCACGCCCTGTTTGAGGTCGGAAGGGACCTCTGGAGCTCCTCTGTTCCAACCCCCCTGCTCAAGCAGGGCCACCGCTTTTTTTCCAGCTGAACCGGTGGTGCTTACACCATAAAGGACATCCCATTTTCCTCCCTCCTCTTCAGTACTGAGTATTGCGACCACGACATGGATATCACTTCATCTCTGTGTAGGAATGAGTGAGATTGTGTTTGACTTTGACGAGATGCAGCGGTGGCCTTGAGGCTTGTTACAAACAAGTTTGTGAAACTTAGAGGCAGAAAAATCAGGATGAGATTGGATACATCCCTGAAAGAGGAATTTGCGTGCCCCAGCTTGAAGAACCAACAAGTAACGCTGAAGAGACGCGTGGACGAAAGAGAGTAGCCAATGAAATGGGTTTTGCTTGCTCGTGAACACTAGATCTTATTATAAAAGGGATAGATAGTAAAAATAAAGTGTCTTTGCTTGAACTCATATGCAGAGTCCGTGTCTCATTCCCTTCATCTCTGTGCATTGTTGATGGAATTGTAGACGGGCTTTGAAGCATTACAGATCAGTTTCGCTGTCTGAAAATCCTGTATGTGGTGTCTGGAGGCAGGACTAGGTGGCAGAGGGAATTCCAGCTGGCCTGGCTCTAGCTGGTAGCTTGTCGTCTGGTGGTGCTCCCCCCGGTAGGTACCTCTCACAAAATGCTTCAGCTCCCTTTTCTGACAGCCCAGCTGTTTGATGCTCAGGTTTGCCCGCTGGCTATCCCTGGCAGCTACGCCATGGTTTGCTTGCCCGTGGCGTGCTGAATTCTTCTTCAAAATGCAGGACAGAAACATTTCTTTGGGAAAGGGATGGTGTTTCAAGGGCTCCCTCAGGTGAGAAACGTCTCACAAGCCACGTTTCCCTCCCACACCTTCAGCTTGAGCATAGGCTCTCTATTTAACACGTTTATTTTATCCAGAAGCTGGGCCCGGATCCCCCGAGCTGACCGAGGGATCACAAAGCTGTGCACGCATCTCCTGCTGCTTGGAGAAGAGCTTCAGGAGGAGCTGGTCTTCTTGAAGGCAGTGTCTCCAGATGCCACGTGTCCTGGCCTCCCAGCGTCCCACTGAGGCCCCTACCCTGGCCGGCTGCTTTTTATTTTTATTTTGTTTGTGATTTGGGAATGGAGGATATGGACCATCCCACTGCCGCCAAACGCGTGGGGAGGGAAAGGAGCTGCTCTCAGTGGTTTCACGTTGACGTAAGTTTTCGTGATAGCAACACCGAAACGTAGGCGCCCTCACTGGCGCCTTCAGCTGCCATCGCACCCACGCAACACAACCGGGATCAAGTGCAGCGCTTGCATCGAACAGGGAGCTAAAACCAGCTCTGAAGGAAAAAGGTTGAGGCTGCAATCCCACTCAAACCTTTTCTTTACATTTAGGCATAAATTACATTGATGTAAGGCCTACACGCTTGCTTAAAAAACGTTTAAGCGAACAACAGCTGCTGTGAGTCACTTCTGCGCTTAGTTGGCTACAGGGGTAAGAGAGCGGCAAGGCATTACTTGAATCCGCGTCTGCAGGGGCAATTTAAAGCCAATTTCGGGGCCGTCTCCGCCTCCATTTTGCGGGGCGGGTGGGGGGGTGGGGGGGGGCCTGGGGGGTGTGGCCCTTGCCCTATAAAAGCGGAGGGCGGGCGGGGGAAGCGCCGGCGGGGGCGGGGGGCCGCGGCTGAGGGGAGGGGTGCCGCCTTTCCCGGGCGCGGGGGTTGTGGCCCGTCGGTCGCCTCCTGCGGGGTTTTGGCACACTCTCCTTTCACCCGTGCCTTCCACCTCGGGTTGTGGGCGGCTTTTACACCTTGGCGAAGCAGGTTGTCTTTTCTAAGGGTGGTAGTGCTGGGAAGGGGCTCCTCTATTGCTGTGTTCCTCACAGAAGTGCTGAGCTTAGCCGTGCACTGAGGTCAGATGGGTTTGTGGAGGCTCAGCTAAGGGGGAGCTCAGTTCCCTGCATGGTCCTGACCACTTAATTAGGCATTTTCCCTGTCCTTAAGTGTGCGTGTGTGTTATTTTTACAGCTGGTGGGGAAGGCTTGGCTTGTGGAGTCAGGCTCATGGTGTGGAGGGTTAAAGGCTTAATCAAAACATGGGTGAGTGAGAAGAATAGCTGGAGACAAGTCTCCTTCTACAATGCTTGTTTAAATAACAGAGGAAAACAACCCAAGCCTGGAGGTGTTTTCCAAAGGCGATGGCTCAGCTTTGGCTGGAGATGATGTAAATGTGGAGGGCCCCTTCTTGGGGTCCTTTGGCAATCTGTTAGGCTGGGTGCCAGTTAGCCCTTCAGAGCATCACTTTTAAAGGCTCATGCTTCATATAAATAGACACACGGTGTTTTAATTAGAACGTACTGCAGCCTTGGGGGAGGTCTGTGCTGGTGTGAAAATCAAGAATCTAATATTGGTGATTATTAGATGAACTGTGCTGTTCTGTTTCCTTAAAATTCCAGGGTTTGTTTGCACTGATACAGATTAATTGTGTAGGAAGTGTTTGGAGGTTCAGGTGCTGACCAGTTAAAGCTGAACGGCTGCGGTCTGGGCTTGTGTGCATTTGTGAACGGTGGCCGTACCTGTGTTAATGCAGATGTTTTATTAACAGAAGAGTATCTGCAAGATGGCAACTGCTCAGAAGCAAAGGAACTGTGTGGTAGGATTTGCTTGTGTATTTCGGCGCAATGTGTTATTTGAATTGGAAAAATTGGTGAATTTTAGCTGACATGGTGCATCCAGGTGCTCTTTAATATTTCTTCACTTGAAAATTACAGGCTAATTCAATCCCCTAACTATGAATAAAGATGCTTAGTAGCAAAACAGTTTGAGTCTGAACTTTGTGGTCGTACACTTGGTAGGAATCAGCTATGTCCTAAAACCATAGTAGCACCAAGTGTTAAGAATACTTTTAACTTCATAAATGCTGAAAGTCATACTTTTCAATTAAATTAAAATGTTAAGCAGGCATTGGACCAGACTGTAGACTTACAGGTTTGTTGTTGTGGCCAGAGATTAATTCTTTTCTTTCTTTAACTTTCAGAGTGCAGTTGTATTTCCTACCAAAATATCTACTGAACAGCAATCCCTGATGCTAGTGAAGAGGCTCCTGGCAGTAGCAGTATCCTGCATTACATATCTGAGAGGAATCTTTCCTGAAAGTGCCTATGGAACAAGATACATGGATGGTAACAGGCTGTTTTCATGGTTCTTTGCAAAATCTATTGCCGTAGGATTGCTGTGAAGTTAATGAGTGTTTTTTAAAGCCACTTGGTCCTCTTGGTTAGAGCTAATGGCCATTTTCAATGACTGTAATGGAAACTTCAGTAATACAATCATCACTGAATTCTGTTAAAGATAGCAGTGATGCTAACTAACTTGGCAATTAAAACCACACTGACACCACACTGAGTAATGTTAATTTTAGTCTGCTTTTGATATATACTTTTAGGGAATGAACTTCACTTTCTTAGCAATGTAGTTGCATTTTGTCCTAAGTAAATATGCATGTATTTTTTTTTTTTTTGAGATGTCTGTGTCAAAATTCTGAGGGAAGACAAAAACTGTCCTGGCTCTACTCAGCTGGTGAAATGGTATGTTAATTACAGTGCATATGTAACACATGTCATGACATATGGAAGTTTGCAAATACAAAGAAAAAATGTCTCTCCTTTGTTGTAGTACAAGGTAAGGCATGGGAAATGCTGCTGCGTTTGGCAGAGGGAGTTTGCAGCTGCTGTCAGTGGTGAGGTGTTCAGAGGTGTAGGTCTGAGTTCTGGTGTTTCAAGTGTGATCGGTCAGCCGCTCTTTGTCCATGTGCTGTCACTGAGGGAGGAGGGGGGAAAAAGGCTTCCTTGCTGTAACCTGGAATTTCTTAATTGATCTTCTGTGGTAGAGGAAACTCAGGTGGCGTGGAGTGCATTTCACCTTACCCTCATGCATCAAACATTAGCGAGGGCAGTGGCGTGGCAGCCTGTGGATGCTGACAAGGAAAAGCCCCCTGGTTTTTGTGTGAAGGGTGTGTGCTACCTGTTGGGAGTTTACAGGTGAGTAGCCTTTCTTCACTCAGCAGCATGTACACACCAAAACCAAGTTTTGCTTGTTGCCGTATTCAAAAGAAATGTTAGGAAAAAAATTAGGGTAAGTTTTGGTGCGCTATTTGACTGTCGTTTACATGTTATATAAAAAGCAAATTGCAACATCTAAATAAAGGCAATAGCAACTCCTTTGTGCTTCAGCTGAAGTACTTATAAATAAGTTGATTAATGAATACATGTGTTAGGTGTTTGAAAATGGTAGCTGTACAATTGCATTATGTTTTTACTTATAAATTATTTACTTACAGATTATATTTTTACTTCTGCAGAGGTTAGGGTGATTTGGGGTGTTACAAAGATAGTCATTGCTTGTATCACTACTAATAAAAAGACAGAATAATGGAATAAGTATTCTTTATAGCTCTAATATTAAGAAGGCTCAACACAAGAATTTCAGTTTTTGGGACTATTTTATTTAGCCAGAAGTGAAGCAACTGGAAATTAGTAGTAGATGGACACTATTATTTGATTTTTGCAGGATGTTAGGATGCTATGATGCCTTGCAGAAGAAATATGTAAGTCTTCCAGTATCATTTAGCTATTTTAAATGTATTTAAACATTCATTTATGTAAGTCCATTAGCTGCCAGCATAGGTATTGGACTTTCTGGTTAGGGAATAGCTGCGCTTTAATATGTTAAACAGCTACAATGTGGGATGCACACACGTTTCAGGATAATGTTCTCTGTAAAAAGAAATGCTTAAAGGCAGGGATACTTTGGAATTTTATTCTGCCAGTTGAGTAAGTCCTTTCTTAAACGGATCAGGAGTTAAGTGTATGAAGAGGTTTCTCTTCAAACAGGCCTGTAGTTGTCTGTCTTGGTTTCCAGAGCTAGAGAAACAAAGCAGCTTGGTAAGCAGAAATGGGCTATGGAATACATTTAATGTTCTTTTTTCTTTAATTGTATTTCTGACAGCTAAGAATGATTGTCCTAGCAGTAAGTATCTTTGAAAAGTAAGGTACACATTTTTTAAGGTAGATGCTTAGGGATATGCACAGTTCTTACTCTGTTTCCTCTCTTTACTTTAAAAATACAGGTCTGTACTCATCCAGAAGATCCTCAGGTAACCTGCTAGAATGTTGTACTGGATGATGAGTGACAGTATGGATATGGTGAAATGTGCATATGAGCAATAGTACTTAATCACATTAATGCTGAGCAATAGTACTTAATCACATTAATGCATGTTAAAAAAGACACATCTTAAAATACCAACTGTAAGAATCACTAGAGCTAATCAGAATTGCCACGTAGCGAATTGCCTTTGAATATCTACTGTCAGGTTATTCTCAGGCCAGCACAAAACCCCCAAGCATCACCTGTAAAGATGCATCGTCCTAACTGCATAACAAATTTATGGAACTTCTTTGGGGAAGACACAGGATGTTTTCACTAACCACTGGGTGTCACTGTTATGTGTGTGAAGCATTCTCCTAGTGACTAAAATTTGAATGAGTATTTCATTCGAAAAACTTAAGCTGATGTTTCAAAATACTTTATCATGGTGATTCCTAGAAAATAATGTAAATCTTCATTTTTATTTGATGACAATTATATACATTAATACCATTAATAGTTACAGCATTAGAAAGCTGAATTCAATGCATGTAAGTGCATCAGGCAGGAGTTGGGCGCTCATTATTTTCTTTAAATGCAAGGTTAATAGATTACTAGACAGAAGCAGCAGCAGTTTGGTTGACAGCTGATAGCTTAATAATTACTGGATTTTTTTGCAGACAATTACAGAATGTTACCACTTCAAATTCAAGTACACCCAGAATGGGCCACTCCTGGATTTCAGCAGGTACCCTCACTGTGACTTTATTGTGCTCTGTGGTTTTACAGTCCATTGCGTACACTTGAATGTAAAAACTTTGGATTTTATCTGTTTGGTGTTTCCTTTTTTAATTCTGGATCTTAAGACTAATTTTATCAATGTGTACTATTAGCTTAGACTTATTCTTAAAATACAATGACTCATTTTGTCAGATTATGGTCATATTTTTAAATATCCACTCAAAAGATGATTCTTTGTGTCAGAGTCCAATACTCTCTGACCAGGTTCTTGAAGATACTCCGTGTGTGGAGGGTGAAATGTTTAATATCAGATTTACTTATCTGAAGATACATGATGTTGCATGGGATTTATCATCTAGCAGAGATGATGCAAAATACACTGAAAATGCAATACAAATGTAAGCTACGCTTAGCAAAGCATAGCTATTGCAATGCACAGTTCAATCACAATACCAGTTGTCATTCCCATTACTAAATATGTTCACCATCATGACGCTGGGCATCCCCGCTCATGGGAAGGAATACGTGGGTTGAAGCCAGCTCCAGCCCATTGCTCTCTTTGGAATTCTTTTGTTAGTTGTTCAGTGTTTATTCTCTTTGGGCTGAGCCGTATTCCCTCCCCCCATGCTGGTCTGGCTAACTCAAGGAGACATTCACACTTAATGAACTCAAGGAGAAACATTTACACCACCAGTTGATCCACTCAGCTGTGATAATAGTTGATCCTCTCAACTGACATAGCTATTTGTCTAACACAAAGGGCACACTCGGGTCCCTTGTGTGTTGAGCTAAAGTCGGCTTTGCAGCAGCTGTGGTCAGTGACACCCTGCATCATTCCCTGAGCTTCACCTGCCCATCACCTGTGCCCATCTCCACTGAGCCTTCTTCCCTTGTAGGGGTTTACTGGTCAGTCACAGCTGCAAGGAAGTGGCTTATTTTAAGACAAGTAATTGAAATGTAGCAAGTTTGTACTTCTCCTGTGTTTCTTCCTGTATGAAATGCTTTTTAAATTAAAAAAAGACCAAACCCAACAATGCAGACCTGGGTCCTTTGGGCTGAGTTTAGTTACTTACCTCTGAAAGAGGATGTAAGTCATGTAAAAAACCCTGGTGGAAGGGGATGTGACTCTTGGCCACACAAGGTTGCTTTGCTGTATTAGCATAAATTGATACTGGACTAATTTGAAAATATAAGGCATGGGCCTGCTTCTGTGTCTCCCTGCGGGGAAGGAGATAACCATCTCCAGAGGGGTGAGACATTTGAAGCCACCGCAGTTAAGGGTGCGCTTCCAAAAGACAGGGTTACCCTGCCTGGTCAGGCCCTCAGCTGCCTCTCTAAGCTGTGAGGATCAGGGAGTAGCGGGAAGGCATTTTTGGTGGCAGTAAGGCAGGCTTTGGGTCAGCTGCTGGTGGAACAGGAGCGTGGAATTCGAGGAGCTGGGTGCGAAGAGTCACTTAGGCACACATTTTCTAATCAGTAACTGTTCTTGTCAAAGTGTTTTATTTAAGGGAAAGCAAGTAAGACTTTGCAGAATTGGGTCTTTCAAAAGTACCTACTTTCTTTCTTTCAGATTGGGTATTTTTTAAGCACTGCTGAACCATAATGCTTTCATGATGTCCCTGGCTCGGGATTTGATCTTCCAAGGGGCAGAGAACGTGCAGGTCACTTAGTGTTAGGCATTGCAGTGCTTGTCATCTCAGACCTTAAGCAATAAATGTGATGCCTGCTTCTGACAGTCATAGTCTGTTAAACAGTTGTGTATCTTCACACTAGAAACAGCTTACTCTGTATAAAAATCTGAATGCTTTTGTCCATTTCTAGTAAGAATAAAAGGAATGATTCCACAATCACCTGTGCAGACACCAAGAAAGCAAGTATCCTCCTCATTCGCAAGATTTATGTGCTGATGCAAAACCTGAGTCCGTTACCAAATGATGTTTGCCTGACTATGAAGCTGTTTTATTACGACGAAGGTAGTATTTCCATATGGCCTTGATTTATCAACTGTGTTCAGACATTAGAAAACAATTCAAAGAAATACTTTAATGTATAATCTTTATGGTTGCTGGGACTTGTTAAGTGATGTTATTTTGCCTGTGTCCGTTTCTCACAACGGTTTCCAAAATCCAAGGGGAATGGGTTTGATCTCGCTGTAGGAACACAATCTTGTCACTGACTTCATTGGAGCAAAGATTTCAGCGTGTGTTAAAAACAAATGGAGTTTTACCGAGTGTGTTAGGATGTAAGGTGTTTGCCAGACTAGTTCTGGTTTGGATGACTTAAAATGTCTGACACTAGCTCTGCTTTCAGAATGTATTACAGCTTTGTACTGAAAAATCAGCTTCTAGCTCATTGCTTTGCATATGTAAACTGTTTCAAATAGCTTTAATTGGGTTTTGCCGGTGTGTAGGGGGGGGAAAACTTCATTTAGTACAAGTTGAATATTGATTATTCCCTTCCCCCTACACAGTTTTTTTGGAGTAGCTTTGTATTTAAAGGGGAAAAGAGTCTTTTAGCCACACAAGTGAAAATTTAATTTTACAATAATGTGCTTCATTCTGACACATCTAATGAATTCTTCTCTGCAGTTACACCACCTGATTACCAACCTCCTGGTTTTAAGGAGGGTGAATGTGAGGGGATGATATTTGAGGGGGAGCCTATGTATCTTAATGTGGGTGAAGTGCCAACGCCTTTTCACATGCTGAAAGTTAAAGTGACAACTGAAAAACAACGGATGGAGAATGTTGATACAAGCATCCTAAAGCACGGAGAGACTAATGTGCCTCTCCAGGTGCTCAGAGTGGACAGAGATGACCCAGAAGCAGAGAACCAGGACGTGAATGTAAGAGCACAAATGTTTTGTGTAGCTTGTTGAAATTTTTTGTGATTTATAGTCTAGAAAAGGGCCATTAATTGTTTTACTGCATGTCTTAACTATAACATAATAAAACTGTTTTTCCAGATATATTTAAGCAAGACAACATCTTCAGTACATTTTTGCTTTTACTGCTCCAGTTAGCAACCTGTTGTTAAAGCAGTGTTGAACAAGTGCATCAGCACGGTGCCTGTCAGCGGCATCATTGGTAGTCACCTCTCTGCGAGACTGGAGGGGAGCAGCAGAGGGGCAGCTGTGGCTACGGGTACCATTTGTTCGGCTCTGCTCACAGTCTGCAGGTGAAACCTCCCTGGAGCTGCCCCGTACCAGTCCCAAGTGAGCTGCTGCAGCAGTAATGCAGTCAGTAATGACTGGCAATAAATTTTGTACAGCACTGTATGTACAGCTAGTGATGCTAAAGTTAAAACAAACTTGATTCTGTATTGGGATTTTTCCCTGAGGAAATCTGCCTAGAAAAAGGCACAAAGGGAAAGTTGCTGAAGGCATGAGCGCGTGACAGACTTGTGCATCCCGCTGCTGATGCTAGTGCACCTGAGGCAGCTCTTGGGCCTGTGCTTGTGCTGGCTTCAGCAATTGGAGGCATTTATTTCTGGGTAGGTTGAGGTAGGCAGCAAATACCTTTAGTCATGTCAGAATGTGCAAATCTATACTGGCCATAGGTGAGAAGGCGGTGGAGCTTCAAGGCTTCTGGCTGCTCCCCCTCATTAGCATTGCTCGGGAGGCCTGAGGCTGATGTGATGGGAATAAACCTCTTGGCCCTCTAAATCTGCATATGCCTCCAAATTGCTGTTTCACAGGTGATGGGAAGGCGATAATTGATGCACTGATAGTATTCTTTCAATATCTGTTGTTACAATTTTAGTATTTTGTACAGATATTTTTCTTGGCAGTTGAATTAAATGTGTGCTTGCATTAATAATTAAGTAATGCTGGGCTAGCCTGTGCATTCCATGTCAGATTAAATTATTTCAATACAGTTTTTTCCACCAGGAATCCATCTAATAAGCTCTGGCCCTAAGCATCTGACTACAAACCCTCTTCCTTATTTGTCTGCAGTAAGTGATAGATCTTTTTCTTAATCTAGGAAAATCCTGTCTTGGATAATAAAGTAGAAGATGGGAATAATGCAAATATTTCAGAAGCTCAAGGTAACATTTCTGTATATTTTTCAAGTTGCTTCAGTTTGTGCCTCTTCTTCCTGATGTTACTAAAACTCTATTTTCTGATGTAGATCACTACTTCAAATTTACATTCTATTTTCTTCACATACATTGCTATGCCTTTATTTTCTGTCGTGGCTTTGTTCTGTAAAGCGCTTGGCTAGCACATGCACATTTTCATGTTTCTGTTCTAAAATTCTGATCTTCTGTTCCATTTTATCAGATAAGCTACGCTTACTGGGTTCTATATTTAGAAGTAAATTTTGATGTTTGATTTTTCTATTATTATGTTTTTACTAATATATTTAATTTCCACATAAAGTTTGCAGAGGTATTGTACTCTGGAGTTCATTATTGCAGACTTGGGAAGCAGAATTCTCTCTTCAAAAAATGGTCCAAGTCTATTTTTGTTTAAATCACAGCTGTTTGGACTGCATCCTCACAGCTTCGGCCACTACGTACTTTTAGCAGAAATACCACTTTTAGCCACCTTTTTTCCTTAAGCTCTGACAGCGGGACCATGGTCTGATTCTGCAATCCGTACGTGCTTCAGTCTGTGGGGTTGCGGAGGAATTGAGACCATCGGGGCTTGTGTACACAGGGTTTTTACGTTGTGGTAGACTGAGTGATGCCCGTGTAAAAATACCGATCCGTATGATGTGTGTTCTTCTGTACAAAGGGAGTTGTTCATTACTGCATGGTTTGCTATGCCTGATCTAATCAGTAACTTCATCTCAAAATGTTTTGGTTTTATGAATGACTGCATGATTGTGCTGCTGGATGTTGTAGTTCCTTTCTAGCTGCTTGCTTTCACAGCTTGCTCTGGACCTGTGTGCCCTTTTCTTGTACTGCGTACGTGGAACATTTTGATAATTGCAAGTGAACTTCTTTAACTTTAGTTTTCATAGGTACAAATTCTAGCAAAGCATTTTTGTTAGTATGAATCTCAGCAAACTGTTTCCTGAAGTAAAATCCTAGCACCATAAAATCTGTCAATGTAAAACTACGCAAACAACATGAGTAGCAGCAAAAAGCAAATTCCAGGTGGAAGCCTATAAGGCAGCACTCCTCAAGAAGGTACCAAAACCATTTGTCTCTTTTTAAAAAAGTTTCATATAACAACTTCAATCTGCAATTGAACTGAGACTTCTGCAGAGAATATAAATGAGATCTTATGTTTTAGAAGCACTCTGAGGACTCTCAACACTGCAAGGCAAAGCTGCCTCCTCCCTTGTTATCAAATAAACGATTATGCCCTTCCTGTTATGCAGGACATCAGGAAGTATCTGCTTATCCTTTCTGATGAAAAACAGCAGCATCTGTCTTGTTGGCTTTTTCTTAGTCTTTATAAATAGGTAGTTGCTGTGGTGTTTGCTTACAATCATATAAATGTCCTCTACTGTAAGCTCTGAATGCAGAAGTGCCAATAAAATAACTGTCCTGGCTACACCAGCCTGACCGCAGCTGCTACCAGAAACACGCCCTGGAAGCACTCCACTGGTTTGGTTTTTTTTTCTTAATTGGCGCTCCAAGATGCAGACCCAGACTGTCTCCAGCTCAAAACATGAGACAGCAAACTCTGTCCTTGAGGATCTCTGTGAGCAGAAGCTTCTCTTTAAGGTTTTTAGAGAAACTAGGAGAAGTAGAAGATGATTTATCTTCAGATTCCCCAAGATAGCCTGAGGGCTCGAAGACTGAACTTTGCTACCAAATGAGCTGAAGAATGAGTTGCTGCTCGTTGATGTGCTCCTCTTGGAGAGGCTATGTAGGAAGCGTCCAGACAATACCGGTACCCATTTGCTGTACATAATGTTTCAAACATAGCAAAGAAAGGTCAAAAGAGGAAATAAGTGCCTGTTTTGAAAGAAGATTAAGTAGAGATGATGTAGGTGATTATGCTCAGAAATGCTCTGATATGCTCATGTAAAATAGGATAGCTAAAGGAACATAGTTCTCAAGACTGTGAAGTAAAAAAACAAGCTTTATGACCAAAATCGGGGGGGAACCCATTTATTTGGATGAGAAACCCAAGTAAAATGCTTTTTTTTTTTTCCCTGTGGCAGAGGTAGAGGCTTGTATGGAGATAATGAATCTATGGCACTCCTAGAAGAAATGCCCATTAGTGCTGCTGCTTGCTCTGTTCACTCTTCTTAATGCATTTCCCTAAAGTTGCATCTGCTTTGAAATATAACTCTGGTTCTGCAGACTTCAGAAACACCCATTTTCCATAAAATCTTCCGGACACATTGCTTTCCATGTAACCCTAAAAGCGGCAGCTGTGTCTGTGCTGAGGCTTTTGGTCCTCCCAACCCAAACAAGACTTGGAGCTTGTTGGGGCTGCCCTGGTGTCCGAGTGCCTGTGGAGCAGTTGGACAAAGCAAGTCGAGCCTGGATTTCATTTTTTTTAAAATGGGTTGGAGTGTCCTGTCATTCAAGCCCAACACTGAACAGGCTGTGCTGTATATTTAAATAGTGGCATTAATGTTGGGTTTTTTTTTTTTTTCAGAAATAAAATGTGCAACTTTGCAAAAACAGCTGACATTTCCATGCTGTTCAAAAATAACCATGGGAATGTGTAGGAAACAGCAAGTGTAGATCAGTGTTTCTGTCTTGACGATGGTGGTAGGCTGCAGAACTGCAATAACCATGTAAAGCTGTATCTGGTGCTTTTAGAAATCAATAGAAGTTCCAAACCCAAGCAAAAATGCAGTGAATTGCTTGTCTTATGGAGTTGGCATAATGTTTTGTTTATAGGAGCTACAAGACATAGGAAAATGCATTTGTCACCCAGAAATTTTTCAGTCATTTCCCCAGCTGAAGCACAGTTGTCTTTAACCAGTTCATGCTTATATCTGTATCCTAGGAAAAAAATGGCATGGATTAGGAACCACATCATCTCCAGAACTGACTGCTCCTTCTTTGTGGCCTGTTCACGCAGCTGCAGGCAGCGATAAGGGAACCGTAGCTACAGAACTGCAGCCAAAGCTGCTCGGTTGTGTGTGGCTGGGTTACAAAATGGCAGCGGGTTCAGAACACGCAGAAGCTGTGCCGGAGTGGCCCCGCAGTGCTGTGTGCCCGTTCTGCGGTGCAAATCGGGCTCGTCAGGCTTTTTACTTGGAAGCAAATCCCAAGATAGAGGAGCCTTTAGCAGTACGGTGCATAAAGGAGTTTGGGGATCAAGCCCACTCTTCCAAAGATCCTGTGTGTAAATCTGTACTACTTAGCATAAGCATCTCTTAAGTGGTAGGAAGCTGTGATAGGAAATCGCTGAATTAAAGATGTAAGAGTGTGTAACGCTTGGTGGAGTTGATGACTCGCTTGCACATAGAGAACTGGAGCCCTTTTGAAGCACCTCTTTGCTCCGTTTATAATGTGCAGGTGTTCCTTGTGGCAAAACATCGGTGTTAGGAAGCTGCTAGTGTGTTGTCAACAGTGTGCTTGCTTTATTATTTAACAACTCTTTTACAGAACCAAATTTAACTTGTGAGGAGGATGAAGTTACAAAGGGTGGAGGGAACCAGCATCTGTATGTCTCTAATCCTCAGGTATGAAAACTGCGCTCTGTCACCTTAACCTTTTACTAGAGCTTTTGTGAAGCTTCTTTCCTACTTTGGGTGATTAATAGGTAATCTGCTAAAGGTTTATTTACCATAGTTGATATTTTCAGCAATAAAATGCATTTACATTTTACTTCCCAATGTTTTACAAAAATGATTAATGTTCTAAAGCAATCGAGCAATAACGAAAGGCTGTTTCTCTGTGATACACTTCTCAAACCAAACAGATGGTCTGACTGGTGTGAAGATAAATGAGAACGCAATTTCTGTGTTTATAAACAGCCATAACTAACTGCTTCCTCATAGAAATTTCTCTGCTAATTCTGACAGACGAAAACTTCATTAAAGGCTGATTAAAACTTAAAATGCAAGTTTATTACTCAGACTTAAAACTCCCCCTACATTCCCTGCATACAGCAAAATGGTGTCATTTAAATATGTGGAGGACTACTTCAAACACAGGTCCTTAAGGTTTCTTAAAACAGAATCGCCCTGGGTAACCGTGAGTGACTTACTGTACAAAAATAACTGATGCTTTGATCTGTCAGGGCTCTTCGACACCTTCAGCTGTAAATAGTGCTCTTGACTTCAATGGGTGCGTGCCTGTATTTAAATTTCAGCTCAAGTGCTGAGCAGAGCCAGAGCTCTCTGCGTGCTACAGCACTGAACCCTGCTGTAGCCTCCAATATATTTGTGGGTTTTTTTTACTTCTGTTACAAGGCAAATTCTATTTTCTGATTTTAGGTCGATCATTTGGCAAGTAAGACGTCTGAACTTAATGTGTCAGAGAGCAGGACAAGAAGTGGAAAGATATTTCAAACCAGCACTGTTAGTATCGTTTTCTTTTTTCTCTAGTTCTGTTCTTTCTATTCCTGTTCTTTAAGCCAAACAGTGAATAAAACTCTAAGCTTTAATGCTTTTCGTGTTGACAGAATGAAATTCTCATCACTTCTAAAATTCCCATTAACTTCAACACATTTGGATTCTTAGTGTCAAAAAAAAAAGTCTGTTCCAAAGAATTAAAAGCTCAGTGATGATGTAGTTAACACAGGTTGAGAAAGATTCATTAGGATTGATTGATATCTTCCTGAGAATGCATTTAGCCGAATTCTCCGCTGGTTTAATCCGGCGTTGATAGGAGCGTGTGCCAGGAGAGATCCCCAGCCCAGTGCCATATGCTTGCTAGTGATTTTACTTGGAAAACGTGAGGCCAAAGTTCTAACCTCGGATCTGTGACTCATTCATACCAAGAAAAATCTGCTATTTCTTTGCTTAATCATATTGCAGCAGATGAGTCTCGTAGTCGGTGCTACCTGTGGGGAGCCAAATTCCTCCAGCCTTGCACAGGTGGAGCAGAAGTTGTCTTCAGGGTGGAATTTGGCCTTTGGGGATGGCGTTGGGGGCCCCCGTTTCTCTGTCGCTGCTGCCTTTACCAGCGGAGCTTGGCAGCTTCAGCTTGGGGGCCTTCACCAGACCTCAGCATCTCTCTTAAGTGTGAACGTTCGAGGTTACTGGTAGGTTCTTCTCAGAAAAAGCTGTGGGGTGAGTAACTGCCGTTCTAGTAAATAAGTAAGTGCTCTTCATTTACAGTCAGAAGGGGAAATGATGCGTCAGAGCCAAGGAAAATTGTACCCATCCTGTCCCCGCTCAGAAAAGCTCTTTGTTAATTTTTAGCGCAGGTTAGGGAACAGTGGTTGTGTAAGGATTCATAACGTGCAGCTCGGTTGTTGCCAGTAGTTTTCTCCTAAACCAATAGTTGCTTTATTTCTATGAAGGCTGATGGAAATCGAGCTTTGGGCGCGTGCAAGATTCATTCCTCAGCAGAATGTTTTAAAGAAATCCAGAAGATAAATTGGTCTGTGTCTTAAAAAGACCTGTCTATGAAAGCTGCATGTGAAAAGGGCTATCGGTGTTGGCCACAAATTCGTGGAGATGTTAAATTCAGAATATAGAACTAGTAGATCCAGTCTTTGTAAAGTACTGCTTACTGCAGAACAGAATTTTTTACTTCCAACCCCAAGGCCATATGAGGTGTTTTTTTGTTACTCACTGATGTGAAAGGGGGGAAAAAAAAAAACCCAAACCCAACAGAACATCATTCTGTATGCTCACTATCACTGTATCTTTCTTTTAAAAAAAGCTTTTGTTAATGAACTTAATACTAGAATTTAAACAAAGCACAGTTGCTTGGAATAATCGAAAGCACAGCAGAGCTAAAGGCTAAATTCTCATCTTTTCACGTGTGCAAATCGGAAATAATTGGATCAATTATTATCAAAGCTCAGGAAGGCAAGCCCGTGTGGTGCTGAGCCCCCTCTCCCGTTGGTATGGGGCGCTGTGCTCCTGTGCAGAGCCCTCCTGGTGCCGCCGGGCTCCGCGGTTGGGCCACTGGGGTGGCTCCCAGCTGCTCGTGGAATTGGAGTTGAGGCGCTCCCTCTGCGGAGGGAGCGGCCTCCGTCACGTTCCCTTGCAGCCGCGACACGCGGGGTCCTGCCGTTACCGCATCGATGCATCCCAGCCCGCCTGCAGTAGTTTGGAGGGATGCTCAGTTCTGCCAGAAAACATATCCAGATGTTGCTCCCGGCATAGCACCTCTGGGCGGGGAGCAGGCGATAGCAAGGTTGGGCTGGATGCTCCGCGCGCGGCTCTCGACGCGTCGCGCGGCTGCCTCGGTCAGGGTGGGCTTTTCCCACGTTAAACTTGCCGACGCCATGGAGCGGGCCACGGTCTGCGCAGCGTGGCAACCTGTAACGCGGTGTTTCTTTGCCCTTGGCAGGTTCATCACTTTGAACTCTCATCTAGTCAAGACGTGCTGCCGAAAAGGAGAAAGATCAGCGAACCAAAGGAGCGGTTTTAGATACTCCTCTCCCTGCTGTTGGTTTCCAGAGTTGTTCTCCACACCAGTTCCACTTTGTTGTTTCACGTGAATGTTCATTTTTAAATATCTTTTAGGGATCTTTTCAATTTGTAGTCAAAATATAATATCTGTGAAGAAGCCCAGCTGCAGGAACGAGAACTGAATTGTTAGAGGAGCTCGCGCCCTGTCGGGAGGGACAGGAGGGACCTGGCTGCTGCCGAGAGCGTTTCTGTAACGAGGGTGATTTGGGGGTTTGACTCCCTGCTCGTAACGTGTTTAAATCCTCACGGCGATGGTGTAACCGGCAGCGTTGGGCTGTGTTTTGGAGCTGAGGAGCTCCCTGTCCAGAACCTGTCTGTACGGGGCACAAACCCCTCGGGGCTCGGCGTCGCAGCCCTGGGTCGCGGCGGCTGCGCTGTCGGTTCCAGCCGTGTTCCGTTTCTTGCTTTTGCTACTGGGGCAGTTGGGGGGCCTTGATTTTTTGCATTTCTGCCAGGCTGAAGGCACCAGCCTCGAGTAAAAAACAAGCATCTTCGCACCTTCAATTACATATTTCATGCCAAACGCAGGGATTTCTGTACAGCTGTTATGAGCCATGTATGTAATTACAGACGGAGTACAGCCGTCTACTCTAACAGTGTGAGATTGTTTGAAAAGCCTTGTATTTATGCAAAATGATTAATTGCGGATTGCAGGTGCCGTTTCTTTTTCGAACTAAATGTTGTTCCTTTTTTTCTGGTGCTGTGAATGACCCGGTGCGGCGAAGGGCTGCTGCCGCCGTCA